CAGATGAAGCCACAAACATCATCTGCCCCAGAATAAACCATGGCAGTACGAGGGCACATGTACTATGCATGTGTGGAGCCAGGGGTTGTCAGCATTGCTGTTAAAGACATGCCTTGTAGGGTTTTGGGGGTCATTTTAGTTCCTAGGGTGACTTGGTCTTGCAGAGCCATGGTTGATAGCACTGAATTGACCCTAGTGACTCCTCCCTGCCCAGCCTGCAAGGACAAAAAAGCCTTTCAGAGGTGCTGCGGTCAAGCCCAGCTATTTTTATCATCATTCGGGAAGGGGAAAAAGGAAATCAGCTTTTCCGAGGTGCAGTGGAGGACACGTGCTTCAAACAGAACCAACCTTACAGCCTGCTGGAGTAAGGCAGAAGGCTGTGCTTTCATCACAACCTCCTAAATGGCAATTTGGTGAGCAGGAAAAGATAAGGCTTTATTTTAAGCTTTACCTTGCTGCTTTTTGCACCAGTCTTGAATAATAAAATGATGCCACAGGTGCACCTTGGACCCACAGCCTAAGAATTAAACCCTTCTTTTGCCAATCAGGGTTTCTTCCCCTTCACTAATCATCTTCCATCTTTTTTTTTTTTTTTGTGCCTCTGTGCACTCCTGTGATCCCAGGGAAGACAGCCCTTCCTGGGGGAACTCCCTTCCAGGCTTCCAGACACAGGCTAGGATCTTTTGATTTGCAGCCTCACTGTGTGTTTCAGTGTTGCAACCCAGTTTAAGTACTTGAGGTTCTGCTCACATTGGACCATCGTGTCCCAGAATATCATCCACAGATGCAGCAATGCTTGAAATAAATGCACAGGGGCATTTAGAAAGGGTATGTTGCTGAATGTGAGCAGATCTGTGTACTGAAAAAAGTCCTTTGCCTGGAGAAGGGGACAGGGGAAACAAAAGGCACGTGTCAGAAGTTAAAATAATCAGATTTGTGTAATGAATGAGATTAAAACAAAGGAAAACCATAGGGGAAAGAGCTCTTCCTGGAAATGCAAGTATTTAGGAGAAATACAAGGACTGTTTTTTCCAACCCCTATTCATTTCAGGGAATGAGCATTTTCTGCTTGAGACATGACTTTCTCTGGAGGAATGACAAAAATGAGAAAATTTCACCAAACCAAACACGTCAGACCGTTTTCTTAACTTCTGCAATGGATCCAGGATGTGTGGCCATCTCAGCCCAGGTTCTTCGTGCAGATAAGCCCAGGACAAATACTCACTATATTTCCCTTCCCATCCCCAGCCCCAGCAGCACTTTGCAACTCCAATTTCACCGCTCTGCATTTTGATTTCCAACAACCGAAGGGCTGGAAGTCTCTGAGACCAGCTGGAGGGTGGAAGCTTGCCCCTGCCCCAAAAATGTCTCCTGAAAGCCAAATATGAAGGTACATTTTGGAGCAGCAACGGACCCACTGCATCCCATCTCCAAGGAACGCCTGCATCCAGTGCACTCTCGCCTGGGGCTTGCCCCGGGGTCTCAGAGACCTGCCGGCAGCAGGACACGTGGGGACCGCTCCCAGGCGGCTGATGGGCGAGCGGGACACCCCGGTGCCAGGAAGCAGCATCCTGACGCAGACAGACCCACCCAGGCGGCTGCCCCTCCACCGCAGCCACGGAGCATCCTTGGCTGCCCGCGTCCTCGCCGGGGTAGACCCGGGGTGCTTCAGGGCCACTGGCTGCAGCCCGGGGAGCGAAGCCCAGCCGGTGCCGCTGGGGAGAACCAGGCTCTGGCTGCCGTGCGCCGCCCCGGGGCCGCAGATGATCCAGTTCCATGCCGCCACACGTCCCCTATAATTGCTGGGTCCCAGGTGGGCTGATGCTCCACAGCGTCACCCAGGCTGGCACGTCCCCCCCAGGAGGCCGCGTCACCGCGCACCAGGGCAGGGGCGCGTGTCTGCCGGGGCGGACACGGCCCGGCAGGGTCCAAGGGTGTCCCGAGGGAGTCAGCTTGTCTCCCCTCCTGGCTGCCTCTGCCCTGCAAGCCCCCAGGTCCCATCCTGCTGCAGCAGCCCCCAGGCCGCGCACCACCACCCGAGGGGGAGCCCGCACCCACCGCCCCTGCCCACGTCCCCCTCTCCAGCTGCAAGTGGGTGTTCCTCTGGGGCTGGAACCCCCTGCACCGAAACCCATGCCTTTTCCCCAGGAAATCTCCCGCATCCCTCCTGTAGGGCGCCTGGCTGTCCCGGCACGGACATCCCCTTTCCCGGGGCGGCGAAGCCGGCCAAGCACCGCGGCGTCTCGCGGCAGCGGGACGGGACGGGGCCGGTGTTCCCCTGCGGCCCTATGACTGTTTCTGGCTCGGGAGAGGCTGACGGAGGGTCCCCAGGGGCATCTCCCCAAGGCACGGCAAGGAAAGGTGGCCCTAGGGAAGGTCGAAAAGCCAGAGCAGGGCTCGCAGCACGGGCAGCTGAGACCGAGCGTCCTCGCCTTGCCTCGGGCCACGGCGCTGCTTGGCCACAGCCTTGTCTGCGGAAAGAAGGGGTGGGAGCGGGGAAGGCACCGGCAAGGCTGGCGCAACACGTTTCCCCAGGTGCGTCGAAGCACAGACACGCTCTGAGAAACGCGAGGCTTCCCTCTCTGCAAGACCGCCGGGAATTCGGCAGCTAAACACCTCCCAGCAGGCGGTTTTTTACCTCTTTCCTCTTCACCTTGCAGCCGCTCACCCTCTCCTCTCCCCAGCAACCTCCACTGCGAGCACTGCTGCAGACAGGGGAGGGAGCTGCCAACAGCCAGCAGCCGTGCCATCCTCAGGAAAAGCACCTCTGGGGCGCGGGGATGGCTCAGCGAGACACACCTTTGTCCAGGGCTGGCTTTTGGCTCCCGTGGGCGCGACAGGGCTTGCGTGCGAGGTGCAGAGAAGAATAAATTGGCTGCCAGACAGCAGAAGGGAAGAAAGCGGAGCCCAGGCTCAGGGTGTGCCCGCGTCGCTGCCCGGCCGGCACGGCCAGCCTCTTGCTGCCCTTCCCTGCCCAGGGTTTGGTGCTTTGCCTCCTGGAGGAGACGCAGCTGGCTGGCAGGAGGGCTCGGGGAACGGGGGGGCACGGTACCCCGCTCCTGCACGGGAGCGTGGGGCCTGGCACGTTGCACGGAAGAGCAAGGCAGGTCCCCAGCAAGCGGGAGCAGCGATCCAGGGGCAGACGTGTATTTAAGCTGGCAGGGCAAAACAGCGAGTGGCGGGAGGGAGCCGTGCACGCCAGGGACTGCACCAAAAGGTTGCCCCTGGGTGGGGTCCCGCGACGAGGGTGGGATTCGAACCCACGCGTGCAGAGCACAATGGATTAGCAGTCCATCGCCTTCACCACTCGGCCACCTCGTCCTGCCCCGCGCCGCGCATGGCCCCGCCCCTCCCCGCCGCCACCGGGCCTCGCCTCAGTCCGCGCCGCCGGTACCCGCCGCGGGGCCGCTGAGGGCCCGGCCCGGAGCCGGCTTGCCGTGGCCCTCTTAGCGCAGTCGGCAGCGCGTCAGTCTCATAATCTGAAGGTCCTGAGTTCGAGCCTCAGAGAGGGCAGCGCTTTTGCCGCCCCTCCTGGCGGGGGAGAGACGGTCGCGGCGGCACCGGGCCGGTCTTTTTGCAGGGCCGCCTCGCCGCGGAGGGGGAGTTGCGGGCCCTGGGGCGGGGGGTATGCAGGGGAGGGTCTCGGGTGGTGGTGGGACAGGGCTGGGGCCCACCGCAGAGCCCTCTCAGGCGGCCGCGGGGCAGCAAAATGGCGCCCCGTCCACCACTGCCAACCAGGAGGGGCGGCAAAAGCGCTGCCCTCTCTGAGGCTCGAACTCAGGACCTTCAGATTATGAGACTGACGCGCTGCCGGCTGCGCTAAGAGGGCCACGGTAGATCAGGCC